AAAGTAAAAGCAAAACAAGTTGCAACCCAGAAGAAACCTTCAAAAATGTCGTTGACACAAAGAAGGAAACTCAAAGAGGAAAACAGTAGCGATCCCAACATGTCTGGTATTGATAAAAACATTACAGTAACAGCCCCGATATCTTTACCTGATCACAGAAAGGATTTGAGCCCATTGATGTTTTCCAAAAGAACTCAAGCGATAGCTGGATTACGTAAGACTGAACAAAGTGGAGATAAAAGCAGCTCGCTTGACAGTGACGAGGACCTAGACACTGCCATAAAAGACCTGCTCAAGACAAAAAAGAAGTCAAAGAAAAAGACAAGAGACTTGAAGCGGCAATCAAGGAAGTGCCTTAACGATGAAGAATCACTGCTAACAAATGCCTCACAGACCAAAAAGTCCAAACCTGACCCTTTTTGTAAGCGCAGTGCTGCGAAGAAAGTGCAAAAGATTAAAGATGACATGAAAGACACGACTGGATTGAGTAAAAAGAACGTTTCTCAACATAAACAAACTGATAAAAGTAAAGAGCATGAAGGGACTTTGAAAGGGACTGAAGGTCAAGACTCCATGTCGCTGCACAGTGCTCACACTCTTGAGGTAAAGGAAGACAGTACTTCAGTAGACAGCGACGATAGCATTGAGCAAGAGATCAGAAGATTTCTGGCTGAAAAGGCCAAAGTTTCGACTGCAGTGAAAAGTAAAGACGGAGACGTATCGAGGAATGGTACTGTTGTGGTTTGTAGCCTACTTCGAGATGAAGATATTAAACAGGAAAATCAGCTGGCTGAAATTCCAAGAAAAAGTATCACCACGCCTTTCTCCGGACAATCTCAGAGTAGTCCGCCTCAAGATAGACAGTCTGTTCCACCAACACAGATTTTGGTGCCATACATTTCAACTGTTGGTGCACAATCACGTCTGTCCTCAGTCCAATCTTGCAGCCCCAGTCTTTTGGAGCCAGCAGATGGGGCAGGAGCTGCTAGAACCGAGCAAAGGAGGTCTAGCACAGGAGGAAGTGATGTCCAGGATGTTGCCCCACAGCTTGAGAGAGTTAAACCGGTTTTGAGTCCCAGCATTGCCCATTCTCGTTCTGAGTCGAACAAGTGGCGCCAGAGCCTGGGACTCCCCATTACTGACACACGGACTCTCAGTCGGCTACCATTCCATATCACCTCATCTAAAATCAGCAAGACTGCGTCAGCAACTCTACCATATCAAAGCAGAGGCATCCACCTCAGTTCACAGACTCCAGTCTCAGCTTGCTCCTCCACAAGGACCAGCGGAGCACCCTTCTCCTGGACTACAGAGAAGACTGTAAATACGCCATACAGATCCCCTGTTTTAAACCTTTTGTCCTCTCCCAGGCCAAGGTTGTGCTTTACACAGAGCCATGCCCCTGGCCACAGCTCACCTTTCCCTATAGAAGGAGAGACGCAGAGTATGGTGCATATGCCTAAGGACAAGAGTGTGTTTGTCGAACTGGAGTCAAACAGGACCAACCATGTCCAGGTTCGAAGCAGGGAAAGGAGTGAGGGAAAGGAGAAAGCAGATTTGCTAATTGAGAAAAAGAAAGAAGTCAAGAGCTTGAACATAGGTGATAAAGAAATGCACCTAGAAAGAACACAGGAAGAATTTGTAGATGAGGCAGAATGTGAGTCAGTCAACAGGGGATATCCAGAGAAGAAGCAGGGCTTTTCCACATTGTAAGTATTTTCTTTGGTCACTATCTCCCATAGCATCATAATCCAACTTCTATAATACTCATTTTTTTGATTGTGTCCTGCAAAAAACTATATGGTAGGTTACAATCAAGCCCATTCATTTACACACTCTAAGGGAATGTTTGTTAATACAATAAAACTAAACAGGCATATTTTTTATGTGTTTTTACATTTATACAGCTATGTAACATAATGGCACCATTATGACAACTTTTTGTGCCCAGAAGTTGATCCATATCACTGAGCCTTTGAAAAGCAATACTTTGACTGAAGAGGCAGGCTGCATGAGTAGTACTCCAATCCAAATTCACAATACTTCTCTGCAGAAAATGTAATTCTCCTTAATATCCATGACATTTTATGTAAAAAGATGTGATCCAGAAAATAACTTGTCAAATGTTTAAAGTAAGGATGGTATCTTTTTTAGGTGTCACTGGAATAACACAAATTATTAATCAGAAAAATATGTGCAGTCATTTCACGTGTCATATCTAAAGACCCTTTTATGTGCAAAAGTTAAAAAGTCATTATCGGTCATGTTTTCGTCGCTGAGCTATTTAGTTGTGTCTCAGTAAAAGCTTGAATACAAATATATATTTTATGAATAAAAATGTCACATTCAGGTGTCCAGTGCATCAAACCGGACACATTTCACACAGCTCGGTGCCATGACTGAGGTTGTTAAGGAGGCAAGTAGAGGAGGCTTGTACATGAAAAACGTGATTTGACCTGAAACCAATGATTGATCAAAAGAAGATTAAATGTTTAAGGTATTTTTCAAAACTGGTTCCATCTTCTCAATCGTGAGTTTGCTCCTTTTCATGATCAGAATACGATACACTGCTTAATTTATTTGCTTTTGAACTGTGGGTGGAAGAACACATTTGAAGATGTCACCTTGAGCATTTTTTGCCTCTTTTTACTATGCTCCTTAGAATAGAAGATGGATCAGTTGATTTACAAAATAATTGGCTAACTAGTCAATGACAATAATGAAAATATTTGTTAATAGCAAAGCATAAACCTATTAGTGTGGAAATCGTATGAAGATGCAGCAATATACTGTAGCTAAAATATTATAATACAATTTTAAATAACATGAAATTAAACTGATCTTAATTAAAATCCTTATTCTTTAAATCTGCAATAATAACACTCAGACAGTTGCTTTGCCACTGTAAGACAAGACTTTAAAAAACAAATCCAAATCTGATTCACTAGATCCTTTCTAACTTTTGTACATAAGAAGAAAATGTCACGCTTTACTGACCTTTGACCCCTAGTAGGCCCCCTTTTCCCAAGCTATTGTAGAACAGTAGTGGAACAAGCTTGTATCATTTAAAAAAAAATTAAAACTCAAATCCATTTACCCCACATTTGTTTTTAAGACACGGTGCCCTTAATTATAGATGGGAAGTTAAAGCTCAGTTGTTGACGTAAGCCACTATAACAGTCTTGGACTTGATACCTCTACGACTCAAGTGTTTTTCCACTTTCCACAGAAGCCACATTATTACTTCTCTCTGTTTTGCTCAACTTAATATTTCGTGTGTTGTTTTCTTGAATTTCCTATGTGAAAAAAGGCTATTTATTTTTGTTTATCAAAAAAAAAAGTTACCGAACATGCTGTGCATTGCCAGGTTTTGTAAATATTTTGTAAGTGTTTTTTTTTTTTTTTCATTTTCTCTTTCAAATGAAAAAAAAACTTTGCTGTGTCTTAAGTGCATCTGTGTAATAAAGAGTGTGATCCAAACAGCGGTCTTCTTCATTAATAAAGCTTGATACTTGATACCGCAGCACTTCCACTTAAAAGATTGATGCTGTAATGAAGTACGGTATAAGATTTTTAGGTATTAATGGGTAGTGGTCTGATGCTTGTCCTGCTCTGCCTTGCCCAGGTCTTTGTCCAGTGCCATTGACCCTGGCATCACCATCAGACCTTGCATAGCTCTCACCACAGAGGAGAGAAGCAGGATGTTCTGCAGGAAGTACCAGCCTGAAAATTGCAAGAAGGTACAATAAAATAAAATAAACAATGCTTCACTATTTGTATCCTTTTCGTGATGAAGCCAGCTGTTTGTCAAAAAGTTGTTCTGACCCACTGCAAGTATTTAATATGTAATTCACAATGCTTGCAGGGGAAAGCCTCTCTCGTTAGTTTACCAGTGCAGAAAAGAAAGACTCTGCAGTGCGTCAAAAGAAAGCTGCAGTTTGTTCCAGTGGACAGGTATGTGATTGTCTCTTCAGCGAGTGATCACTGTCAAACAGAAAAAAAATTATCATCTTTCCATCTTTTTGCAGGAGACGTGAAGCACCCAGCGAGCACAGCATGACAGAATAAAACTTTAATCTGCATTCAAAATGTGCAATGTTTGATGTTACATGCAGGTCGTTGGATAATTATTTTGTATTGAAGGTTTCGTGTTAGTTTTGATGTTGTGGACAAATGGAAGTTTTAGATTTGGGAATACACCGTTTATTGTAATTCTCCCCTTTTTGTTTTTTTTTGTTTAGATTGTACAAGTTATACATTAAGTAGATCTTACAAAAATGGCTGCAAAACATGGAAAAAAAGTTCAAGTTTACTAATTTGTTTATGTAGCAAATAAAGGGAAATTTGTTAGGGACTAAAAAAGTAAATTCTAATATGCAGAGTTTCAGGATTCTTGTTAAATGGTATTATATAAAACTCATTGGCCATAGATTAAATGGATCTCTCTTCACTGCAGCTGTTGTTTATAAAACATCTGTAATGTGTCATCTTTATTGCCAAACATGTTGTTATTGAGTTATTTCTCATCATTAACATTTATATATCTTTTATACCTCTGTAATATTAAGGCATTGCTTTCAATGGTTTTGAGGTTTTTCAATAAAGTTGTGAGGTTTTTTGGAATAATAATTTGGCATCCTGGGTATTGTAGTCCATCGGGAGTGAGAGGAGGACATGTGAGGAGAGTATCTTAACAAGTAAGATAAATAAACAGTGTTTAATTAATTGAATATCTTATAGGGTTATATGAGCACTGTGAAGTAATGAAGTCTGTGGAGAAACGCCATCTTTCACATCAATTTAATAAAGAAACATTGATGATGTAACTGAGGAAAGCTTGAGTACAAATCAGGGAGTATACAATATATATTTGTGTGTTGAATAGTCCACTACATTATTTTAAAGTACGTTGATTAAATAAAAATGTAGTGTCCATTGAAAAAAAGAAAAATATTCCATATGTTCCACTCCCACACAGTAGGTGGCGGTACTTCATTTTAACGCTGGTTGACTTCCTTCATAAACCGGAAATGATAAAGACGAATAACCTGACCTTCCGCGGTAGGTTACCTCTGCAAGCATGGCGGCCCGAGCACTGACGAAAGGTAAAACTAACCCCTTCACTACCACCTGATTGTTTATGGGTGTAGCTCACATCGTAGCATCTCCAGCTAGCACACACGTAGCTTTGTTTTGCCTTCATGCATTTATCGGTTAGCAACTGACAGCTAGCGTCAGTAGTAGCCGGGTAGCTAGCAGAGATGCTAACTGTCAGTGCCCACTTGTCAGGAGTTAACCTGAGATGTCTGTGCTTCCTGCTCAGGACTGTTGGGGCTGCGGCTGCTGCGAGCTGTCACCCCCGGGCCCTCATGTGGAGGACATCAGTATGCTACTGCTACGTCTGCGAAACCTGTTCAACCTGTACATGAGGATGTTACAGGTGAGTGGACGGAGCAGGGGTGAACGTGTGAGGACGAGGTGTGTGTGTGTGTTTCTCGGGTTTACGTCATGTAATGTCTCTGTCCTGCAGAGAAGATCATGAGCCTGTCTCTGGAGAAACCCGACTTCTTCCGTGTGGCGGAGCTCTTCTCCTGCAAAGACCTGTTCGACGCCAGAGTTCATCTGGGACATAAGAGAGGTTGCAGGCACAGGTCGGTTTGACTTCACGGGGGATGTTGTGTGAATTATACTATACACGACTACTTTACCATGTTGTCACCTTCAGAAAAGAAGATGAAACCTTGTGAGGTTTAAGCTCTTTTATTGTTCTTACTATTTAATTTGATTAACACATTGTTTTGGTGTCTAGCATGTTGGATTACTTATTTTGTCCAACAACAGTCAAACACCTAAAGATATTCAGATGACCGTCTTAGAAGAGTACAAACAGCAAGTCCTCACAATTGAGAAGTGGGAACATCTCATACAAATTTATATTAATATCTCTAATTCTCTTCTTTCATATCTAGCCTTATGGAGCCTTACCTCTACGGCTGCCGCTTGGACCAAGATATAATCGATCTTGACCAGACTATGGAGCACCTTCAGCAGGCCCTGAACTTCACTGCCCACATAGCGTACCGTGGCGGCGTCATACTGTTCATCAGCCGCTGCCGTCAGTTCGGCCACCTGGTGGAGACCACTGCTAAGGACTGCGGGGAATACGCCCACACGCGGTACTGGCAGGGTGGTCTCCTCACCAACGCCCCCATCCAATACGGTCCAGGCGTTCGCTTACCAGACCTCATCATCTTCCTGTCCACCCTCAACAACGTGTTCCAGCAGCACGTGGGCATCAGAGACGCAGCCAAGATGAACATTCCCACAGTGGGTGTGGTGGACTCGAACTGTAACCCCTGCCTCATCACGTACCCCTTGCCTGGGAATGATGACACTCCGGCTGCCATGGAGCTGTACTGTCGCTTATTCAAGATGACCATCAGCCGTGCCAAAGACAAAAGGAGACAGATGGAGCTACTGCACAGCCTCACTGCTCCCTCCACGCCCAGTTCATGACATCATATCTTCTAATATAAGAGACATTAATAATTGTGTATTAATGAGTTAAGACTGGCTGCTGCTCCCATTCATCATCTATATATAGAAAAGCTCTTATATCGGTGTATGTGGCCAAGTTGAATAAGCCACAGTGCTGTCTTTGTATAAAATCTGCAGTTGTTTCCGTGACATCAGCGTCTCGTCGAATCACATTTTCCCCGTACTAGACCTGTAAGAGATGAGTGATGTTGCAGACGGTTTGTGAAGTTATAAAGTATGTTGTGCATCACTGTTGACTTCTAACATCAGGCAGCACTTTGTGTTACTGCCATATTCACACTCACATGCTCTAGAACATAACGTTATTAACTCAATATAACAAAATCTCAACTATTTACGCAATAGAGCATCATTTGAAACAAAAGATTTTCTATGGTCACATATTGTATAGCGTCATTGGCTTTAAGACTTGTTCTAGCTAGTGTGAAATATGTTATGAGTTCTCTTCATGTGTATTAGCTCTCCAAGCAATATGTACTGGTGCACACAGTAAATATAAGACCACACATTGAGTCATTTTCAACACTGTATGTGCTGCAACATGTCAACAACAAATTGTCATAAAGCCTTTAAATGAATAAATGAATATTGTGTGTATTGGAAACTGTTGCTCTTGAATGCAATGTAGTTCTTTAATTTCTCATCCTCTGGTGAATCCACATTCATGCCAGTGTTGGATTCTCTTTTTCACCACAATCATTTTTATCTTATTTATTCATAATTAGCTCCTACTTTAATCATTTACTTCACTATAATCCAGATTCAAATAATGTATTTGTTTTACTTGACTACATTTAATAATCTGTAATACAAAATGTTACCACCACCCAATTTGGTGTGTAAGGCATCAAAGATTATGAAAAGACTATTTTATCCTTGAGGGGGGATTAAAGTCTGTACTGCACTAAATTCAGGAAATAAATGAGCCTCTCCATTACCTGCTGCAACAATAAGATAATGTACACATTAATGCGTAGATAACTGAAATCCAATAAGTGGTGCAGAGTAACTATGTACTCAGAAGTACATTTGTTTAGGTACCGAGCTACAACACAACCATTCTGGTCAAAATGAGAAGCTGCTACTAGATAAAAAAAAAAATTGTAATTAATGTTGGAAGTATTTGGTTTATAAATAATTTGAGTTATTAAATAACATTCAATTGATTTTGTCAAGGACTTTTGTAATTTTACAGATTTGACTGGTTTTAAGGAGAAGTATAAATTATACGAAATGTGATTTTCTCTTTAACCTCAGTTTTAATTTGTGGTATGTAAAAACTCTGACTAGATTGTTAGTGGGCTTAAAGGCTTTATAATAATCTACTATCAAGACAATAAGGGACAAACAGACACATTTTAATAGATCCAATAAGCCTATTACCTAATAAAATAAGATATTCTAGGATGACCTGTTTTTTCTTATAATTAAAATCCATCCATGTAAATGACCAGGGGGTAAATACAGTATATTAAAGGCAAGGTGTGCAGTTGACATGTGTTATTCCTCACACACACACACACACGCACACACACAGAGAGAGAGAGAGAGAGAGAGAGAGAGAGAGAGAGAGAGAGAGAGAGAGAGAGAGAGAGAGAGAGAGATTTATGTCGGCAGAATGAAAAAGCAGCTCCAGCGTCCTCCCCTTTAAAGCAGCGGCGCAGTGATGTGTCGCTGGGAAACAGAGGTTTTGTGTCTGAGCCGCAGAAATGTCCACTCAGATTTATCATCATTCACGGATTCTCTCTTGATCGCAGCTGAATTTGTTTCTCATCCTTCGTTATTTCCTCCTGGCTGCGGAGGAGAGTTTTCTGCACCGGATGGATCCCAAACCACAAACTGCTCCGTTTCAAGGACGCGATCATGATCAGTGTTTTCTCTCCTGCGAACGATTCACGATTGAGGAGGAAAGAAGTGGATGAGGACACGGTGCTGTAGACTTGAGACCCCGTATTTCTGTGGTTATTTGTGTTGGTGGTGTGGATCTGCTGATGAGGATGATGAGGATGATGATGATGATGATGATGTGAGGATGTGATCGCTGCTCTCTGCCTCCACACACACACACACACGCTCATGATGCCCAGGGCTGTGAGGAGACTGGTGCACTTGGTGCTGTTCTGCCCTCTATCCAAAGGCCTGCAGGTACTGTCTGTACATGTGTGAGCATCATGAGCATGTCACACATTGTGGTTGTGTTGTTGTCAGGGTCCAGTGCATGTGTGTCCAACCCATCTGTGTGCATGGGCAGTTCACCCCAGGTTCAGTTAGTGCCAAACCACAAACAGACATTATGTGGAGGCACTTTACAGAGTCAGGTCGAAACCTTAGAGACAGAAGCGTTTGCAATATAGCAAAAGCGAGAGCATAAGGTATCAATGTAGTGCATAACATTTGATTTAAAGCAAATGAATTAACAAAAAGTTAAAATAAGGTCAGATCAAAAACCTAAATTGCCCTACACAATTAGTTTTGACTAAAATGCAAACTTTATTTATTTGACGTATTACGTTAAAATGTTCATGTACCTTTATTACATAAGTTCAATGTCAAGGGTCAGATCTAGTAAAGAGTTTTGTCATGTTTGGCATTTAAGACAAAAAGTTGGGCCAAAAACATTCAACTGAAAACCTACGTTGTTCTTCTATTTTCATTTATTGATTAAATAGTTAATTCCATGATATGCTACTTTTTTCACCCTGATTCTTCTTCTCCGTTACATTTCAGGATGAAAAAAAAGTGCATTGTAGTCCGCAACACAATGCAGAAATGTATAAAAGATAATCACGTAACCAATTAGTTGTTTCTATAACAAGTAAATAACTTTGCCATCACACTGAGATTTTGTACCTGATTTTATTATAAAATGCACAAAGTGTATTTATTTATTTTCCCAGTTCAAGTAGACTTTGCGATGTAATATCTTCTTTGCTCTGATGCAATTGTATTTCTACTGAGTATTTCTTCCATCGTCAGCTGTATCCTGAGGTCAAGTGACCAGCTGTTCTCTCAGTCACTGTGCTGTTGCGTTGTAGTCCTAATTTTATGACCAGCTGTCTTGTCCTCTTGGCTCACCATTTTCTGTTTTCTCTTCTCCTGCCCCTGCTTCCCCCCCCGAAGAGTCGTCTTCCTGCCATTAAGGTGAAGTACCTTCTCCTGGCATGGCTGGGCATCCTGGTCACCAGCTGGGTCATCTACATGCAGTACGCCTCTTACTCCGAACTCTGCCGTGGGCACGTCTGCCATATGGTCATCGTAAGTATGGACACTTTGACGCTCGAATGTAAACATTGGATTCATGTGTTATAATTTATGGATCATATAACCATTGCTCATTGACATTGCTTTGCAGTGTGACCACTTCAGGAGAGGCATCATATCAGGCTCGTCCTGCAAGGCGCTGTGTGACCAGAGAACTCTGACCCTGCAGCACTGCATGTCCACGTCCTCCACACATCAGGTAAAATGATGTGAGGGGAAAACCAACCCTGAGCACTTATCGGCATTGTATTCCATTAATGCCTGCATTTTCATCCACAAGCATATAGACATGTTTTCTCACATCTATGTGTGCAGGTGTACAGTGGACTGTGGAAGGAGAGACCTGTTGTGATCAAGTGCGGTATTGAGGATCCTGTGAAGATCGATGGGGCTCCGGACTCTGTGCTGCGACAGGAGATGAGCTTGTTCGACAAACCCACTCGTGGAACCTCCATGGATGAATTTAAAGAGATGCTGCACAGTTACCTCAAGGTTTCTTTTGTTTTCAGCAATGACAATCTCTCACCTTAAGTTTAGTTTAGCTAATTTCAGTTTATTTCAAAGGCAAATTAAGTTAAATAAATATATATTGTGAAGAAAAATATCACGAAGTAGTACATAAATGAACATTAATGAATGTCTGTATCTCTCATAAATGATGACTTTGGACATTTTATTAAGATATTATAGGACTAGAACAACTACCATTATAGAAGGTTGAGCCATATATAATCAAATAATCTTTGTTTGTTATCTGATTTGAATAATAGTTTGAAATAATATAATAATAAAAGAAAATGTCTGTAGCCTCCTATGACATGCATCCAGTTTAAATCATTATATATAAATATTTATATCAGAGAGGGGTTATATAGATATGGGGGAAGGAAGAGTTATGCTAAAGAAATAGTCTAATTTGATGCACAGACTTAGACAATATGACAGAAAAGGAGTTGATTAATTAAGGAGAAAGGGAAATATATAGGAGTTGTGGCAAAAAATGACTCCATGAATACATAAATATTTAACCAATCAGTGTCAACCCCCCTTTGCAGGTGAACCTCGGTGATCAGTCGTCTCTGGGCACCTTGGTGGACAGGGTCATCACTCTCGCTGACATCAACCAGGATGGCAAAGTGTCTCTAGCCGAGGCCAAATCAATCTGGGCTCTCCTCCAGATCAACGAGTTCCTCCTGATGGTGGCGCTGCAGGAGAAGGAGCACACCCCCAAGCTGCTCGGCTTCTGCGGAGACTTGTATGTGACGGAGCGTGTGGGCCACAGCTCCCTCTACAGGCTGGAGGTGCCTCATTACCTGCAGGCCCTGGTCCCTGAGGCCCTGAGTTCGGGCCTGAACCACTGGCTCGCGCCGACGTGGCCCCGCAGAGCTCGCATCACCATAGGCCTGCTGGAGTTCGTGGAGGAGGTGTTCCACGGCTCCTACGGCAGTTTCCTAATCTGTGACGCAAGTCCACTGCATGTGGGCTACAATGCCAAATACGACTGCAAGATGGTCAACCTGCACAGTGTGGCCTCCGAGGCGGTTGTGAGGGGATTTCTGAAGGGCCGGCGGTGTGAGACCAACGCAGACTGCACTTACGGCCGGGACTGCACAGCCACCTGCGACCGGCTGGTGAAGCAGTGTAACACTGAGGTCGTGCAGCCCAATCTCGCAAAAGTGTGCATGCTGCTGCAGGACTTCCTGCTGTTCGGAGCACCATCAGACCTGCGCGGAGATCTGGAGAAGCAGCTGCGCACCTGTGTGACGCTGAGCGGCCTGGCGAGCCAGATAGAGGTGCATCACTCGCTTGTCCTCAACAACCTGAAGACTTTACTGTGGAAGAAAATCTCTAACACTCAGTACTCGTGAAAACAGGCTGAGATCATCCAGCCTGCACTTTGAATCACAACATCAGTTTTCTTTTCTCATTAAACTTTGCCAAACGTTCTCGAGGATGGTGGTTACTAGTGTACAATTTAATATATGTTCTCCCTTCATTGACTGTGAATAACAAGAAGCTGTGATCTAATGAGTTCACATGGACGTGCACAGCACAGGCCTTAAGTTGCCTGGGCAACTGCCCGTTTGCTCACTTTGACTGAGCTGCCCCTCTGGAGAACAGAAAGGTTTTATTATTATTGTAGATGCATAAATATGAGTTGTCCCAATAGTTTGTTAAGTTGTACCTAATTCAATTTGAGATGTATTTTAGTCATAGAAGATTTAAAGAAATGATGTAGAGCAATTTTTTTTAGAGAATTTATTTTCAAAGTTTAAATATTGTGGTTTGCAATCGGATAGATGACTGTGTTAGGTTACAGTTTCCTTTAAACATAGATATTATTTTGAGTTTTGATCTGTCTAATGTGATAATTTACACTAGCAAAAGCTGGTGTTACTTTTTTCATGTAAGAGCAATGGGTCCTCAAAATGTCTGTACACGTCCCTGGAATCTACAATATGACAGCAGATGAAGCTGATTCATTCTCTTAAAACCTCATAAGAGCCCCACTATGCTTTTGTTTTCCTGAGCATTATTTTAAGAAGCACTTTCACCTATTTAGAAATCTCAGGGCAATGCCTTTAATTTTATTAACTGACCGTCAATAATTGGTTTTTAAAATATACTCGATAATTTGGGGTTTCGTAGATACTGCCTTGTAGAAACCAAGTGTTCCAGGGTGGGATGGTTTTTGTACTGTAACTGTAAATAGAAGTGAAATATTGGTGTTTCCTGTGTATAAATGAGTATGAAGCTGTGGCAGAGGTAAGATTCAGTGATGGTTTGAACAATGCAAATATTGAAATGTCCCAGCTGGTGCTGATGTGCGGTGATGAACATGTTGCAAATGGAAAAGAGACGATTAAACAGGTTTGAAATTGAAATCCATGAATAAAGTTAACTTGATTAAAATGTTCCACACATTGTGATAAATATTGTATTTATCTAAACTGGGCAGCCCGGGGAAGTGTAGAGGGAAATTGTCAGTCAGTAAGATGTTCTCTTTATGCAAAATGTTGTGGGCATTCATTGCTGCACAGAGAAGCTTGTCACTCTCCACAGAGACGCAGGACGGGGGCAGCTCAGGCAGGACGACATGGTGTCTGCAGAAACTGATCAATCAAAGAATAGGTAGCACAGCATTCTTGCTGTTACTCAACATCATGAGGTCACCATGAACTAAAGTGAGGTGAGAAAAAGACTAGGGAAGCTGCTCTATAAATACAGACCGTTTATTCAGGATTCTCTATATCATCATATGTCCCCCATGTTAAACAGCTCTGCCTGCTGGACAGTTTAAATCATTACACTTGATGTCATATCAGACATATTGTTCAGGTCAGTGAACAGGGACTTACTGTATGTTCACTGTCAGAACTCTGCAGAGTTTAGTGTGACAGACATGGCACTGCACATGTGATGCAAGCGTGTGAAATGACACATGAAAGAAACATGTATGTGAACAGTATTCAGTAAAAAACAATGAGATGTTACTGAACACGACTGATGGGAATATAACATGTTAAAAGTATCAAGGGTCAAAGTTTCAGTCTATGCAACATTTGGTTCGGATTGGTCAGTGTCGTTTTGTCAACAGTGTTTTAAACCAAATATCATAGAAACAATTGGTGTTTTCGGAACACTAATATAAGTCTGCTGTTCATGTCGCACAGGGATCTGCCAGTCAAAACAATGCACTAGCATCCCCAGGAGAGACTTGCTGTTAATGCACAGTGTCTGGTGAAATGTCTTTGTCACCTCTTGAGGAACTTTTCATTAGAGCACGTTTTGGATGCTAAAATGAAAATTGAGCTGACTTTCCCTTTAATTTTATCACTATTTCTACAGCAGAAACACAGACAGTAGGAGACCCTGTGAAAATGTGTGAGGTGAAATGTCACCTCTTCAGTGTTATGGAAGTTTTCTGGAAGCTGGTGAAAGAAGAACTCAGGCAGCAGCTGATGTCTTATGCAGAAGATTTTAATGTAGACTTGATGCATCAATGAATTGCTGTCACTCTGTATGTTACATGCATGTGTTTGCATCATATTGGATACTGGTGTAACACACACAATAGTTGAAGTTGGTGCCTCTCTGTCTGGAGCATCTGAGTTAGGTATGAAAGTCCCTGAGCGTAGACACTACAATGCACTGTTGGTTGGTCCTTTATCTATTACCTGACCTTGTGTACTGCTTAGAGAGAGAAGGGAGTGTCTGTGGAATTAGTTATGCACTCTTCTCTTAATGGTGTACAGATATAATGTAATATACACTATATATACATAATACAGTTTATAGTGGCATATACAGTAATGTGTGAGGATATATTAAAATTCCTCAACATGCAGGACTTAAGAAATAATAATATTTAATCAGAGCAAGTTACCATTCCCATCCTGTTTGTCTATTGATCCCTGTCTTCTTTTAAAGTGTAATGATGTTCTTCTTTTTTTTTTTTTTTGCACCGTGCCATTGAATCATTTTGATCAGGATGTGGACCTCTGAGCGTCAGTAAAGCTCACAGGAGTGAAACAAATCTAAATTTAGCTCAGCCAGAGTCTCGGCTCTATTTATAACGGAGTCAACAAGGCCAGCAGCGGGAGTAACGAGGGGTCAGTGAAGGCAGCATGTGCCGGGTTCAAAGCCCCTCATGGAGGCTGCTCTGCCTCCTGCTGCTTAGCAACACACCGGGATCATAATACAGGAGGCTGACATCTGAACGACGCTGCTCTTTGTCAGAGAACACAAGAAGCTCCCGGCACCGGAAGGTAAAGTGTGTTGAAGGGTCGCCTCGGAACCGTATGTTCGCTGAGAGAAGTTTGACAGGCGAACGTCAGGTGGAGCTCAGCAGCCAGCACCAGTGTTTAGCATTAGCGGCTAAGTCAGCAGCAGCAGCTGGTGGGAGCCACATTACATCGTTGTTAGCTAGTATTAGCTCTTTAGCCTGAGATGTCAACCGGTGTCTCGCTAACTGTGGGCATATCACGGTTCTGAATGACCTGCTCTTACCCTCCCCCAAGTTAGCATTTTAAGCTAGAAATGCGGACCACATCGTCTCAGATCAACGTTAGCCGGCCGGAGTTGGATTGTAGCACTCTTGTGGTGCCGCCGTGCCCCGTCCAGCATCTCGCACGATGAGCGACCATTATGTCAAAGTCAAGGTTCAGCTCGAGCAGATGAAAACACTGGGCGAGGACGCTGGGAGACAGGAGGGGGACGCCGAGGAGCAGCTGCCGGCGTCCTCCCCCGCTGCATCCGTCTCCCCGGACCCCTCCAGCATCATCAGCACCTCCATCGGCTCCAAACCCAGAGGCAAAGGTCGCACCAAGCAGGGGAAAGATGTCAAGAACACCAGCCAACACGCCCCAGATGTGTCCTCGCATGGGTCTGTCGTCTCTGCTCATGTGGGGAAAAACTCGAACAGGCTGGAGCATGATCCGAGCCTTCACATCAAGGGAACTGGGAAGATACTGCAGGGCAAGTCAGAGACTAATGGGAACTGTGTGACCAACCATGCTTCCAAGAACATCCAAGAGACACGCCGTGAGGATGGATTCAAGCTGGCAAGGAGGAGAAGACCAGTGACCGTGGATACGTCGAAAGCCAAAACCTCTTTGGAGGCACTGAAGATCAGCATCAAGCAGTTAAAGTGGAAAGAGGTGTGCTTGTGTTTGTCTTTGAGAAATGTCTTTCATCCAGTGTCTCACATCCCTGAACCCGCTCAGAGCACCCAGGAAAACCTTTGCTTTACTGCCCTCCAACTATGCCCCATTAAGAACAACATGTTTGCAATTTATTCCTCATGCTAAACACAACAGTAAGCACCTCCAGTTATGGAGTTTTAATCATAGCATCAGCCGTCGAGGGCTCACATTTCAATGAAAGCCTGCACATGAGGGATTCTCAATGGCATGATCTCTGCTTTATTGCCTCCTGAGAATGAATAGCGTCCAACAATTAGAATATGCTACACATGTGACGTGACCATAAGCTTCACGTCAGTAGGCCATACTCTCCTGAAGACAGCTACAAGTCATGAGTTTTATCCTTTCAGGCAGTTGCTTTGTTTGAACCGACCACACAGGAAATATATTCAGTGATTATCACGTGTCCTCTTGATGTTGAGGAAGCTCAGTAAGTGCGATGTGCTGGATTAGAGTTGCAGAGGTCACAGTTACACGTTAGCAAAAGCTGCCTGTGTTTCTGTGACTCTGTGGCTTCAGATAACTTCTGCTGAGCATTTAACCTTGTGTAAAAGAATCCTTCATTGTTATTGATAATTAAGACTGAGTTAAAATCAATCAAAAAATTATATCTACGTTAGCTCGCGACTCGTTGGAAAACCTTTTCTGTCTCAACAGGACAAGATTATGTAGTAACTGGGTTGTTTCTTCCTTGTTCCAAATCAGGAACTTTATGCATGGCAGTATTTATAACAAAATGATAATCAAAAAAACCCTTGAACGTATGTGTTGGAGCTTTTGTAAGAAGATTTTCCATAGTTTAACTTACATTATCTATTTATACATGTGTTATGTCAAGACAATGGTTTAAAATGAATTTTCTTTATTTTGTAAATCTGTAAATCATCGTACATCACAGCTTCTCAGCAGTTCCATCAGGATCGGTGTGGTCATGTCTTGTCAGTACAACTGTATTTCATTGTTGCACTGCAGAGTAGTGTCATATTTATCTTTTGTCGTCATTACCTGACACTTTATCACAGTGGCTTGGAGCAGGGAGCTTTGTCTTTGGCTGATCATGTACCCGAAAGTCAAACTAATGTTAAGAACACTGATGCTGCTTTTAAGACATGTGCCATCATTGTTTCTGTTGACATGGACACTAAGCATATATATGAAATTAAACAAATCAAATTGCAAATGTACAAAGCCAAGAAAGTCCTAATTATTCGTTGCCCTTTTTCCCATCGGACATTTATTTTCCTGATCTCTATCAAAGTTTGTTTTGAATAAGTTGTTATTAGAAAACTTGGCACATTGTTCTTTAGATGACATTATAAACCCAGCTATAAGTGCCTGCCTCTAAAAAAGCACAGAAAAGCAGCAACTTTAAAGATTTATGAAAGGGCTAATTGTTCCAGTTCTTCTTACTCCCAGCCACAAACACCATCTGGTGAGTGTGAGCGTGATGCAATCAATACCCCTCAGCCATTATCAACATGATCTCCATTATGCATGAGAGGTAAAGACAATATGATGAGACGGCTGAAGTTAAGACTACTTGTCATCGATGACACCGCAGTGACACTAAAACCCTTCCAGGTCTGGTGATGGAAACAGGAGACAGACGGACTATACACTACCCTGCTCTGTCCACACGATCAGCCTGTCAAAGTCAAGGGTGCTATAGATCCTGTATCACTTTGAAAGTACCTGTCAACATCTTTGAAGGGGTAGAAACTCAAGTGTCCCTGCTCTATTTTTTTGATCAGCCATGAAATAAATTGGTAAAAAATCTCTTTTAATGAGTTATAACAAGCCAACCAGTTTATAACCTTTACTGATACAGTTTTTGAGGGCGTTCTTGTGACAGTTTGGCTTTAAGGTCACTTTACATCCAAATTTCTACGTGTCTGCATCTGCCGTGTTCTCTGGCCTGAGAGGCAGTTGTCAACTGACTTTCAGCATATGGCATCCCCTTAAACGGTGGGAAATGATTAGCCTTAAGCTCCTCTAATCCAATAGACTTTTAGTCCGCTTTGAGGCAGAGAGAGGGAGTGCCAAGCCAGAGGGTTCAGAAAATTAGACTAATAACTGTGCATTTAATCACAGGCTTGGTATTATTTATGAGAATCCAACAGATGAAGCTGACATTTTCAATGAAAGCACATTGAATTTTATTTTAAAGGGGCCTCTTACTTGGAGGCTTCCTTCGTAGCATTTTTGGAGAATAGATGGATAGATACTTTATTCATCCCCATGGGGAGATTCATAATAGAATAGTAGGGAGAATGACTTGATATAAGTCCTGCTAACTGGATATATGATATCGATCAAATGAAACTCAAAAACCCGTCATATGGCTGCTGTTTGCTAAAGTAGCTAAGTTCAGGTATAATGCTTCAGTGAGAAAAGATTGTTCATTCTCAAAGTGGCTTAGGAAATGAACCTTGCATCATGGAAACCAAGGCAGTAGCTTGAACATGCTCCTGTCCATCCATCTTTCCATACGCACACTTGATGGCTCTTTGTGGGCCGGATCCCTTAGAAACTAGTCTGATTAACTTGACCTCCTTCTCTGATGTAATTAGACGGTTACACGCTGGCATCTCTCAGCCAGTATTTATAGCAGCCCTGGCTGTCAAGCAGGGTTTCCCCGTTTCACACGCTCACATGTTAACTTATTGATGGGATGTAATTCTTTCACTGGACTATGTTGTACCTGGACAGTGTGGCGGTGTCGTACCAGGACAACTTGATGTAGAGTCGTGATAATATTGAGTTAAAGATAGACTCGTGACATAATACTTTCCAGCTCAGTGTTGATCCTTTGAAACGCAGATGTGAGCTGTGTCAAGTGATATTAACACTGGCTATGATGAGCTGGGTGGAAATCAGGAAGTGCATCGTCACTTTTGGGCAGCACAGTCACAGATCCTTATGAATTTTGGCTTTCTGATTCACATAACAAACCTGTAAAAGCAACACAGCATACGTAAACGAATTTATTTAAACAATATGCTATCCCCTACATAAAACATAGCAGCTTCATGAGTGATTATAACAGTTTAAGTTGATTTGCAAATGTACAATTTAATATTTGGAACTTTTTCACAAAGTTAGCTTATAATGTCTTCAAACCAAGCATCATATTACTAATTCCTTACAATGTTATTGGGGATAGCATAAAGATGCATATGGAGGTTTGTGTTCTGCACGAGGAATCATCACTATCAGCATGTTTTTATGTTTTCATGATGAGCCTCCCACATTCAGGTCGGCATAATTTAAGATGCTAAATTGCCTGAAGGTGAGAATGGTTGTTTTTCTCTGTATTTCTCACCTATAATGAACTGGTGACTTGTCCAGTGTGTAGAACACTGCTCGCCCTATTAGCTTGGATTGGCTCTATCCCCCTGTGACCCTCGAAGTATTGCACTTTAGATAATTGGTTGATGGAGTCACTTATGTAAGCAGACGGCGGTTAACATTTCCATTTAGTTTGGAGCTTTATCACAATCACTTAAGTTAGATGATAAACTAGTTGTGATGCATCCACATGCAGACAGAACACATTCTGTTGAGACCAAACTTACGACAGTGATTTATCCTGTTTGTTGAAAAGCTGAAAATGTATCAATGGGTTTCAGCACAGGTGGAAAACTTCGAGGAACAGTTGATTAGACTTTGAGAGTATAGAATCGCTGAATCTTTCACAGTATGAGTGCAATATCCTCTTCTTACAACTTGATCGTAACAACACATTTGATGCACAATATGTAGTTTGGAGTGTGTGTGTGTGTGGGCAGGAGTAGAGGTATCCAGGACAAAAGCTGTGCCTTGTGCCAGTAGGATTTCCGAGCTCTCTTAATCCTTTTACAGTATCATTTCTCTCCTCTTTCCCAGCTCATCACAACAGAACACGCACTACCTACCATCATTAGGCAAGATTATCCCCACACTGGGGTCACCAGCAGGACAAGCCCCCTTCCTATATCCTGAGTAATTACTAAAGATTAAGTCTACATTGGAAAAGAATTGTGTCTTCCTGAATTATCTGTTTTTGCAGATTTCATTTCCTCCTTTCACCTTTCTTTCGTGTGTTTTCAGTTTCCCTTGGGAAGACGGGCGGCCTGTGATATCTACTGGCACGGCGTCTCCTTCCACGAAAATGAAAATATTGTCTCAGGGCAGGTGAACAAGTTTCCAGGTATTTCACACAGCTCCTGCCTCACTCGTCCTACAACTTCCTGTTCACATACTGACGCTCGAAGAGGAGAGATGACTCGATTACAGCTTGCACCGCTTCATGTGTACTCAGTATTCAGTTATCACAACAAGAGGGATTTAGTTAAAGCCCCACTGATCCTCATTGCAGCAAAGCTAACCTTTTTGTGCCATGGTAATAATTATTACTTTAGAGACTCTAGTGATTAGTGTGTATCATCCCTCTTTTACATGGAGTTATATCTTACTGCAACGTCTGTCTGCTTCTATAGCATGGAAACGCTCTTGATATCATGAAGTGGTTCTATAGCATCTATCTGCTCAAAGTAAAACTAGCTAATAACAGCTGCACAAGCATGTGATTTATCGTTTTTTTAATTTCCAACAGAATTTTCATTTACATCTCTGAAACGTCGCTTTGTGCATCACAGGGATGATTGAAATGCTGAGGAAGATCAACCTGAGTCGGGCTATGAGGACGGTGCAGGAGCTCTTCCCAGATGAGTACGATTTCTATCCCCGTTCCTGGATCCTACCTGAGGAGTACCAGCAGTTCTGCACACAGGTACAGTTGTGCAACACAAAAACTGTATCATTGTCGAGTTTGGATTCATTAAAACTAATCATGACGTGGATTCTATGTGTTGTCTGAGCAGAACTGAGCAGCCATGGAAGGCCAGAAAGGTTTTAATTAACTGCAAGTCAGAGACCTGATTTTAACATCCATTCTGAGTGATCCAGTCACAGGTAGTCAGTCCTTAGTTCAGGTCTTAACCCACTTCAATGCATCTTCCATGTGTGCTGAGATCCGATCACTCAGACCACTTTCGGAGGTGGTGTGGGACACATGTGACCACATTCTTTTTTGCTGTGTTAATGTAAATCAGCCCTGGGCCACATACGAAGCACCAGCTACTCAGCTGACGTCCCCTGACCTGCTACAGCTTTACACTGAATCAAGTGTATTTTTATGCTTTTCAATGACAGCATTTGTTTGTGGCCACAGTGTCAACACTAATCACCACAGAATGACTCCTACTCATAAATCATTCTTTCAGGCTCTTCTCTCCCTCTACCTCTCACTGATGCCGACACACACTGACACAAACAAACTGTACAGGGTAAAAACGACAGCATTTGGTGTTCAGGAACAGAAACATTGTACGTGTGTAGTTAAAGATAGAGCAGGGAAATGAGATCCAATCACAAGTGGTCACAGGAGACGCGTTCAGGAAGTATGTTGATTCCAGGTCTGCACCAAAAGCGACAAACAGTTTAAGATTAAAAGTCTTCTAACTTTAATTCACAAAATAAGATGCAGCCAGTTTTTGAAAAATGTAACCTTAATGTGATCAAATTTAAACAATAGTCCCAATTTAAATAAAAAATTGAAACAATAAAATAGTCAGAAAACAAATTAAACAATTTAAAAAATAGCAAATAATACACATAATGCAAACATGTGCTAGATAAAAAGACGATTAGTAAAGCAGTGATTTTTCATATTTAGCAAGTTTAGTTCCTCTACTAATCCTTTGCTGTGGATATTCACCATGCTACAGTGCCGCAGTAGCGTTCTACATAGTATGGCCTGTTTAAGTCCCTGTTGTGCTCGCTTCATTGCTCACTTTCCTTGAGGGGAAACAGCAGAGTGTAACACATTTATGCGTACTACCCTTTACAGAACTCTGGCACTCCTTAACACATGGTTGAGTCTAGTGGAATTGTCGTGTGACGGGAACACAGTGAGGGAGTGTTGACACTGAAGAGGGAGGGAGAGCAGTGAAGAGAATCCGGGAAGAATGAGCTTCTCTCTCCTGCTTTTTCCTGGTTGACTGCCATGAACAAGCAAGTCCCACACAGTTAGCAAGTGTGCCACTCAACACACAAGTGAAGTGACAATGAAAGATTTATCCAGTTTCCATATTTATGTGTTGGGAGGAAATTGTTCAAACAACGAAAGAGGCAAAGAAAACGATTTTTGCAAGTTGGTGGCATTAAATTAATGTGATTTGTACATCAGTCATATTTGTATTCAGAGTTAATTACAGAAACTTTCATTTAAAAAAATCGTAAAAACAATATTGAATTTTAACAACCAACATCAGGTAGTTACATTTCATTTTCAGTTATTTTTAATTATATCAAAGTGCACTATCCAGTTTGAATTGAATAATTAGTTTTATATTGCAGCTACATAAAATGTCCAGCAGGTGGCACCAAAATATTACACATTTTATGTTTTATTCTCCTACACATCAATAATTAAGTGTTCATCACTAACAACATTCAAAAGGCACAAATAACAAAACAATCTGAATAAAACTTGAATCTTTTCAGCATTCCAGTCCAACATTACAAACTTGAAGGTTATTGACATATATCAAGCATCATGAGCCCATTAATTAATATAATTCATTTTAAAGTTTAGAAGATGAACTGTGACCTAATTTGAATGTTAAATGACGTGTTACATTTTCAAATTAGACTTAGTGCAGTTTAGTTTTATGACAAAGTGTTGGATTAATGTCAGTATGCAAACATCCCATGAACGTCTCATATTATAAACCTCTGCAGCCATTTACTGTAACTGAGACTTACGCAAGTGAGGCCTGCACTTCTTTAAAATGGTTGTCTGGGTTCTTTTGTGACTTTCTGGATGAGTTGTCGAAGCACTCTTGGAGGAAGTGTTTCTCATTTGTAGATGATGGCCCTCATCATCACGTCATCCCAGAGACTTCACGATGGCTTTTTAACACTTTCCAGACTGACTGATTTCAATGAGATGAGATTTAGGCTGCTTCACTTTGCAGTGCAGGTTCTTTTGACTTTACATTATGACAGTAATCATGTCCGACACTGAACCAAATAATCAATTAAAGTAGGTCAATTGGTAAATTTAGAAACTGAGGGCGGATTAATATTTCACTTTTCACATTCAATAAATTCAATTGTTATTTTAAAAATTGAATATTGTGGTTACATGGGTCAAATATGCAAAAAGAAATCAGATAGTGGGCAGATTTTTCACAGCACTGTGTATCTCCTCTGGGATCTTGGTCATTAAGTTTTCTTTTTCTTTCTCTCTCCCACCTCCTGCTGCAGATTCGCATGGTGAAGGAGAACGATGCCACAGTGAATCCAACCTTCATTGTAAAGCCAGATGGGGGTTCTCAGGGGGACGGCATCTACCTCATCCGTGAGCCCAGTGACTTAAAGCTCATGGTAGGTTCACAGGCCAAACAGGGCGTGGTCCAGGAGTACATCCAGAAGCCGCTACTCATCGACAAGCTCAAGTTTGATATCCGCCTCTATGTGCTGATCAAGTCTCTGGAGCCATTGGAGATCTACATTGCCAAGGAAGGCCTCACACGTTTTTGCACCGAGCCCTACCAGGTATCCATGAATCTCTGAAGATGCACCTATATACTTACGCCATACACAAAATCAATGTCACTCTCATTTTGATTGTGAAGGAACCAAGCCAGAAGAACCTGAGCCATGTCTTCATGCACCTGACAAACTACTCCCTCAACGTCCACAGTGGAAACTTTGTCCACTCAGACAGCCAGAGCACCGGCAGCAAGCGGACTCTCTCCAGCGTCCTCTACAGGCTTGCAGCCAAAGGCGTAGACATCAAGAAGGTGTGGTCGGACATCATCGCTCTCGTCATCAAAACCATCATCGCCGTGGTGCCTGAACTTAAAGTTTATTATCAGGCTGATATACCACCGGGAAAACCAGGACCCACGTGCTTCCAGGTGGGTCACAGCTAAGACTTTGTAAGAAGTTTATATAATGTGCTCTGGACAGCTGTGGAGGGAGGAACTCCAGAATTTTTGCTGGAATATTTTCTCTGCCTTCACCTCAATTTACCTCAGAAGTCTCCCATAACTCAAATATTAAATATAAATACAGCGCTACAGTCACTAAAATTCAGTCGTATCTATTTGGGAATGATTAATGTAAAATCATGAACCTTGGTTTGGACCATGATTGAGATTGTCCATAGTCCCCTCCCACATGGAGCACATAGATCTTTGCAGAGGTTGTATCTGGTCTCTGGTCTCGTGTGGTGACGGTGACCAACCCTCCAGGACTGGGTTCATCACCTGGGCCCTCGGTGTCTGCCATGTTTGAATTGTCTCTGTGCACCACCTTGAGACGGAGGACGCTGATTGACCTAAAGGCTGGTGTTGACCAAACTTTATCAACTTCAAACGTTCTGTGTCATCACTCAGAGGGTTAAACTACATGTGCATGAAACAAGAGCAATATAAATAATTCTACTGCAGGCCACAAACTTATTTTGTGTTTTCGTTATTTATTGTCACCCAGACCTTTAACAGTTTATATTAAGACTCAGTTGTATTTATTTTATTGATCGGTGGGGTATGAATACTAATTGTGTTTTATCATTTGATTAATTCAGGTACAATGTGGAAATATTGTGTTGTTTTATTAGCAGCTAAAAGGCACACCATACATTTTTAATCCATGTCTGCTGTAAACACTTACAGCATAAACCCTGTACATTTTTGTGACATAACCAGATGCAGATTGCAACTTCATGCTACCCCCGAGTATATATTTGTGTTTATTTGAATACATTAACAATTAAGGATTTGTTTGTTGTCTCAGATTTTAGGTTTTGACATCCTGCTGATGAAGAACCTGAAGCCAGTTTTATTAGAGGTCAACTCCAACCCCAGTATGAGGATCGAACATGAAAAAGAGGTAAAGCGGAACGTCACCGTCAGTATTTCCATCGTGGTGTTATTATATTTTATTACGAGCAGTACTAAAATAAACCTTTGTGTGTGTTCCAGGTGTCATCAGGAGTGTTTGAATATGTTCCCAGTCCTGTGGATGAAGAGGTCAAAGTGGGTGTGATCAGGGACACTCTGCGCCTTATGGATCCTGGCCATAAGAAACCATCAGGGTAAATACACACACTGTATGTACACTACACAGTAAAACACACAGAGGGAAGTGGACGTTCTTCCACCCTCCACCCTTCTCTTCGTCTGCTGGTGTTAAGAGTCCACTTAAGGACATGATACCTTACTCTGCCCAGCTCTGCACCACTCAACAGCTCTCCATAAGCCTGTTAAATGGAAAAATTAAATTCAGCCGAGCCGCGGTGGAAATCCACACTGTACGGTGCAAGTCTGGGGGCTCAGTCTCTCTGGCTGACTGGCCCTGTGTGGTGCCTGTCAGTAAATCCCCTCTACCATTGGAGGTTTGTGTTTTTTTTTTCTGCTTCCTCTCAATCTGTGTTTCCTCTGTGACAAGAGGATTTACTGTTTCTCTTCCACCACCATCTCCATTTCTTGCCTATTGCTCTCTCACTGTTTCTCTCCTTCCTTCAATTCGTTCTCACTTCCTCTCCAGAATAACTTCGATATCAGGTTTTTGATCTGCTTTGTTCTGCAAGCGAGGGGAATATCGTCTCAGGGATAATACCTACTATTACATTCATGACCAGTAACATATTGATATAATCCATCTATAATATGTTTAATCCTTGTTACCCCTGCATTGCTGCATTTTCCGTCAGCTCGAATCAGCAGAACCTCGTCTTTTACAGTGTGTCATTATACCAAGGTTCAACACAGTAATCGCAATTACATTTCTATTCTGTTCAACCATTTCTTATCTACACACTTTCAGAGACCTCAAATTCTAAATGTTTAATGTTCATAATGTTTCCTAAGGTTTAATGTTCCTCATAATTTTTATGTTGAATTGGACCCAAGTTAGTGAGTGGGGCTTCCTGAAAAACCTTTATATCTGTGTCTTTACACGATACAGTTTTAAAGCTGAGGTAATAAACTGATAATTCATTATCTAATAGTATATAAAAGTCATTTTACAAGCAAAAATATCAAAACCTTTTCTGGTTTCACCGTCTATTTTGAGTATTTGCTTTTCTTTTACATCTTATGTGGAGATGTTCCAGAAGTACTTTATCAGAAGTACTTTATTATTAACCCCCGTAGGGAAATTCAAATGTTACAGAGCCCCTGAGAAAGAGGTGAAAGAGCAAAAGCAGGTATAAACATAGCAATATAAAAATCAAGTAAGGCTAAAAGAAATAAAAGATATACATTTGTAGAATTAAAGACCGGGCATGTATAGATACCATCTTTCTCTTCCCGATACCTGGACTTTGCCTATGCACTGATACTGTGCTCATTAAATTTCAGTGCATTTATCGATAATAACACCATATTTTAACAGCTGTATGCTACTAACCCTTTATTGAAGTGATGATTCCTCTCAGTGTTGCATGGCCTGAAGGTTAAACTCTGAAGAACATACGTACAGAGAATGAATGCCATTCTTTTATTATCTTTGTTTTTCAGTCACTACTGAATAAGAACACATTAATCACAACTTAATTTATTCCACTGCTCTACTGTAGATGCACAACACACTTTGAGCCTCCTCTCGCAAATTCAATAGTGGAAAAAAATCTTTATAAAATATCTCAGGGTGAAGTTCTCTATAATCTACAGTCATACAAGGTGGTCTTTAGTATATGATTCAGAGCCTCTATAAAAATGAAGCACCACTTATAGTGACTACGACAAGGACAGCAGGGTTTATGCTGTTCTGGAACATAGTGCCCTGCAGCCATATTTAAAATTCTAATGTATCTTTATATCTGTAGATGCTACAACACTAAACATGGTCGAGATGATTGCAATAAGGAATAAACATTTTAAAGAGGGGAACATTCTGGTGTAAAGACCAACTGTAACAACATATGGTGCTAAATGACAGTAATGAGATAGAATAAAAAATAATAGGGTGGAGGTTTATAGGGAGGGTGGTTAGGAATCTGGATTAGCTGATAAAGTAGCATGAAGTTAAAAATCACGCAGTCAGTACTCAGCTTAAAGAATAATAAGTAGTAAAGTGTGGAAGGACCCAGAGTAAAGGTGAAATCAGTAGCTCATATCAGGGACTGCTCAACTTATTCTAGCTGACACTGCATCGTTGTATACTCGTCGTGCATTTGTGGGTTTAACACGGTGCACTAAATCACTAGTGTGGATATACTTCACCAAAGCAGAGAAAACTGTCAGCTGCAACATGAGTAAACAATACCAGCGCTATATGCATAACCATCTAAAGCTCTACCCTCCTTATGTTTATCGCTAGCTGCAGCAAAGTTGGCGAGGAGGAGGAGAAGCACCAACAGAGTGGACAAGGATATATATAATTAAATCCAACGGTGGTACTTTTTTTGTGATTTGGCACAATTAAAAAAATGACATTCTAAACAGTTAGTATTCATGTGAGGTTGTGATTACAGGGAAGCGTCCTGTCAGCTGTGCAGATAGTGTCTTGTGGTTGGGGGTGTGCTAATTATGTCCCAACTAGCTATGGCTAATGTTTATTAAATTAGCGCCAAGATTGGATATGCTCTGAAAATTGTAATAATTACTGCAATGACACGGGCCCTAAATAGGAGCTCATTAATCATTCACTTCCACAGTTTTTTCTTTGTGTGTGTTTGCATGGGCACAATCCAGATATGTTTGTTTGATGGAAAATGGGCTATTTCTTATGACACTGAATGTCGAACTGACTTATATGCATTTTAAATCAAGCCATGTATGTGGAAAATGTGGCTCTGTATGTGGAAGGGCAAAAGAATCTCCGACATCTAATCCAACAATTGGTGCCAGCATGTGTGAATATTAGATGAATGACCAATGAGAGGAAATGGGCTGATTAAGGGAAATAAGTGGAGGAGATGAGAGCTGGGTGAATATTTCTGTTCAGTTTCTTAATTGGTATTTGAAGAGTTTTGCTGCATACTATCATGAATAGCATCTCAGGGACGCCAGTGGATTCTAACTTTTATTAAAACATGATTTAAACTGCCGTAAGCATGCATAAATTCATATTCAGTACAGATTTATTTTAATGGGGAAGGACTTATTTTGTTCTTTTCTTTTTCCCCTTGCAAACTTTCAGAATTATTAACGGGGTGCTAACAAAGTGTCCCCAATACCGTAACAGGAGGTTAAGTGTTTTGTTTACGGCACAGATGGTCTACTTGTAAGTAAATTCACCTGCGCTGTGGTCACTGACAGCTGTTCTGCAGTGGGATGGATGGGACTCAGTCGTTCAGAACGTAGGGTTCAGACCGAATCAAAGCGAAGTAACAGAGAGATGAGAACTGACCAGGCACACAATAAAAAGGCACTGCTAAAAGTAAAGGAGATGGAGGGAGACCTTAGTATAAGAAAGTAAATATAAAATGACAAAAAGCAGGGGGTTCAATGAGGAACTATGTGAAGGAGAGTGAAGATATCAGTGACGTACTTTTCGCAGCTCATTAGACCTTTGTAAGTTGTCTATGAAGGTGATTTACGAGCCATTATGAGGTGTATGTGAATACAGGTGAGAACATAAAATTTGCATACCTTCAATTACAGTTCATCATCTGCATAAAAAGGTAACAAGACAGCGCTCAGCTTTAAAACCAATCTTTCTATTATTGAAGAAAGCTTTGTCTTAAATACTTGTAAAACCTTTTTCTGATTCTTGTGTTAGGGTTTTAAATTATGAACACAAAACGTTTATCGGAGCATTTTGTCTTCGTATGTTTTGTATGAGTCACGCTGTGAAAAAAGTACATTTCTGAAATGGAGATAAGTGTACAGGCACTTCCAATTCTTTTCAGTGACACATCTGGCACCTTTTAGAGCTGAATCGCTCTGCAGCTCTGAAGATTTACTCACCACAAGACCAGAAATAGCATTAACGCCGGTTAATGACAGCTGAATTAGGCGCAGCCCTCCTCATGTACTCTCAGCCAACATTTGGCAGCGGCACCTCTGAATGTGTTTTTAATAACCTGCCATTCCTCACCTTTTACCCTGTCGCGTTGCCTCCGTCAGTCTCTCCTCTCCGTCTGTGGGGAACGTTCGTCCACATTCCCTTCACTGTCTGCCTGGCTGTCAGCTTCTGTCCGAGACGTGGCTGTTTTTAGCCGTGTCCGTCCTGTCTAAATAGATGTGGGCGGTGTCCTTCTGGCTGCTGAGGGATGATTGATTTTATTAAACATTCAGCAGTGCTCTCTCAGTGCCATTCACACTGCTTACTAATTCATGGGCAAAGAAAGTGCCTCTTAATCGTCAGCAGTACTGCATGCCCTTGATGTGAAATTACCTATGTTCCTTTATGTTACTTGTGTATCTTCATAATCACATGGTGAGCATAGGAGTCATCCTAAAAGGCCGATGGTGTTTTTCACTGAGTCTACTTGATGAGTCCTCCACTCTGCTCTGTGATGGGAATTATTGGGGGTCACTGCGACTGTGTAATTAGTTGTGCTGTAGAGTAACAGGGACGACAAAGTTAAGAGGAGGGAGAGTGTCTGGCTGCTATTCATTTTCTATTATAAGTATAGTTCCTCAATGAGAGATGGGACATGAAATACGTGTTATTAAGATTATAGCTGGTAAGCAGTCCCACCTGACCCCATAGATAGACTGTACCTGAAGATGGACAATGTGGCTCAGCTTCTCCAGGTCATTAAAAAAGATTAAGCTAAAATATCCCACCACCATCCTTCGCTTTTCTCAGCTGTCAATCATGATGTTGCAGCCCGTTTTTACAGTATCAAATAACTTTTTTTTGCCACTTTAACATACATCTGTGTGATAAGAACTACCTACAATGACAGAAACCATCTTTGGGAAATCAATTAAAATAAAAATATTGTTTGGCCTACGTCCCAGCTGCTAACATGGAGTAGGTGGAGTTTTTGACCTACACTGCAGCGAGCCAGCAGGGGGCGATCAGGATGATCTGGCTTCATTTTTAGGGAGCAGTCATGTCATCCATCTTTTATCTGTGCCTCACAACCATCCAGGGGGAAAATATTAATCAAAGTAAAACAAAAAATCAGAAGGTGACAACTTCAAATATATTCTTCTCTTTGATCAATAAAATTAAACTTGATGAAACTGCACAAAAGAACATCTGACAATTTAAGATCCAAGAGTTGGACAAGAAAGTATTTAGGTGTAATAAACTTTTAAAACCAGGGACTTAGAAATACGATGAAAAGAAACTGCAGCCTCTGGTCATCCAAATCATCAGGGTGCACTGTCACAAAAACATAGGGTCCTAGAAATGTGGTCCCAAAACTGCAGCCTCTGGTATCACAGGAACATAATGTAGAAAAAACTCTTTTATTTCCTTCCTCTTTTCTTTCTGACCTCTGTGGCTCAGGACGCTGATGAATTAAATCTGTGGTCGATGGACTTCTTTTGGCCAAATTAAGTAACTAACATAAGTGCTTTTGTACGTTTTTCTCCCTCATTCCGGGCATTAAATGTGACGTTTTTAAGACCTCAATTTGTCCACCATCAGTCACTGCACTGGAATTGGCAATATGGCTCTTAAGCTCAGGCTTACATTGACTAATACCCTGCACAGACTAAAACAACTGCATATATCCACTTTGGCTTTTCAACAGTTATCACCTAGGTGTGCAGGAGTCGGAGTCACAGTGCTGCACAACAAAAGTGACCTTCCTGTCTGGGCTTTGTTTGACTTAATTAAGTATCAACGTTCACTTCCTAAGGAGCAACATTTTGATTTCTTAATTTCAAATACTAAACTTCTATCATAGGTTCAGATACTGATGCAGGTAAATGTTGAGGATGTGAGCTCTGACAGTGAAAAGATGTGTGTGCAGTGGCTGGGAGATAAAGGAGTCAAAGGAGAGTCATTTGTCCTTCATGCTGTATTATTTCTCCCTCTTCCAATGCCAAGTCAGGCTGTAAGTGCAGACTCAAGTGAAATGTTGGGTGCATTTATCTACCTCAGACTGCCTGGCAGTCGGTAACTCAGCCGACAGAAGCTCTCTGGTTTGGCCTCATGCTCTTTTGCTGCTGTCCTGCAGGGCCTGAAGGCCGTTTCTCAGCCCTGGACAGCTCACAAGTACATGTAGTGATTAACTTCTATACTCCACAGCAACTGGTTAAATTCTCATTCAACGTCCCAATTCATAAAAAGTCTGTCTTTGAAATCTAATACAGCATAATCTGTTTTTTCTTTTCATTTTTTTTCTACAGCAAAAGTTCCCAACCGAGGGCTGGAGGGTTCGAACACAAGGAGGAGATCCCCTTGGAGGCGGAGACGCAAGACAAGAGCTCGGACGAGGGAGCGCTGCCCTCGCTGTGTCTGAAGCAGGTCTACCCCAAGTACACCAAACAGTTCAACTACCTGCGGCTGGTGGAGCGGATCGCAACTCTGTTCATACGCTTCCTCGGTGTCAAGGGAAACATGCGTCTGGGCCCCACAGCCTTCCGAACCTTCATCAGGTACAACACAACACAAAACTTCTCATAGTATAAATAATTGATGTGACCAGTTGGATTTTAAAGGTTCAGTGTGTAGAATTTAGTGGCATTTAGTGGTGAAGTTGCATGTTGCAGCTGAATACCCCTCCCCCTCCCCAAACATGACAGAGAACATGTGGCAACTACACAAAGGATGTTTAGTATTTCAAGTTTGGACGACTGTAAAAAAACATGGCAGCCTATTTAAATATAAAGGGCCCATTCTAAATGCAATGTTCAATTCTACATAAGCTATGTTCATAACTAATTTATTCACATACTAAGTGGAATATGCATAAATGTTACAATAGTATCTAGTAGAGCTGAAATATCACATGATATCATAGAAGTAGAAATGATGTGGGATCAGATGATTGATTGACAGATGTTATAAATCACCTTCCTTTAAGAACTAAACAAATAACTTTGTATATTATTTGTCTTTTATAAATGTACAAATTTATCAGTTATGATATTTCTTCATTTAAGTTGATGGAGAACCTGTTTTCACACAGTTAAACAAATCTTTACATGCACACTGGTTACACTCACAAAGTACTGTGTATATCTTATTGTATCCACTTCCCTTTCATACGGATACAACTCTTGATATTATTATTATCTGTATTCATGCATGCACCTCACTGTTATTCATCTCGATACATCTCGATACATATGTATGTTCCTCTGTACTTCGTCTCACTTCATGGAAAGTATCTCAGCAGCTACACACACAGTGACTGGTGAAAAGTGCACTGCTGCTGTCAGTCAGATTGTAACTGCGAATGTGTGACATAAAATGTTTTCTGGTTGTTTCAGGACCTGTAAACTGAGCAGCAGTAACTTCACCATGGCGTCAGCGGACATCTTCTACATAGACATCACACGTCGCTGGTCAGGAGCAACGACTGATTCAAGAGAAGCAGGTAACACACACACACACACACACACACACTCATACATGCTAAAACCCTCACAGAGCAACAACATGCAGAGGACAGAGAGCCGAGTATCCTTGAGACTCGGAGCAAATAATGTGCTCGGAGATAATTGCTTGTCATTCTTTGTCAGTTTCCCTCCGACACTGTGCTCCCATAATTGAAATGAGCCGAGATCACAATGTGACAGCAAAGAGACTATCACACATGAATTATTCAGACATTGCACCTCGCGAGAAATGTTTGTGAGGCGGAGCGGTCGGATGGAGATCACATGGCCCAGGATGGAAGGGGCCCTTACAGACGAGCTTGTGGGCTGAATTTAGAATGGGCTAATACGTATTCAGGGAGATTGAAGTCAGGGTCTGTTATTTCTGTGGATGTGCTTTGGAAGATTTGTTCGGGAACTTGGAGGAGGCAGCGAACTTTTAAATGAATCAAATTATCAAATGTTTTCCTAATGTTTTGATTAGGGTGACAATGTTTTATAAGGACTCATGAAGGAACTTATTAAAATGCTTTCTTGTGCCAGACTCTTTATGATCTACATCAAAGTATGAGAGAAACTTAAAGTGAAAATATATCTGAGGAATTTATTAGAATAAAGTCTAAATATTACAAGAAAAAACTTCACATTTAACAGAATAAATTCATAATATTAAATTATCATATGTTTAAGGACTTTTAAAAGAAACAAATCGTGTCTTCTCCGCAGAAAGACTTGGAGAAAATTGCCTCTTATGTGGAGGAGGAAATGTTTGGTACTGGCTGTCGCTCGTTCCATCTGCTATTCAAAGGACTTCAAGTTCCCCTTGTTGATTATTTCCGAAAAATAATGATATTATGACTTTCCTATCATTGAATTATGACTTATTCTTATAATATTAGGACTCTTTTCTTGTTAAATTACAACATATTCTCATAATGTTATAGCTGTTCTTCTAGTTAAATCAATACTTTAACCATTCAATATTATGAATTTATTTTTGTCAGTGTTTAGTATTTTTTATCTTTACATTTCATCTTTTTTCCCTCAAAATCTCTGATATATTTCTCCCCTCTAATATTTTTAGTATTAATTCCACAGCAGATGACCTACAAAGTGTCATCATGCTAGAACAGTGTGAATCAACTTCTCATTAATTTGTTTCCCTGCATGAGTTCCTTGGGTTTTTGGCACGTTTGCTTTCCTCCTCTACGTCGACAGGAAACAAAGGCTTCAGAAGAAGCAGGTTTTTTAAAACCTTCAGCTGAACACTGAGCTCAGCACCTGCTTTTCTCTTTCCATCTTCACCTTCAGTCTCTCTGACCTTGTCCCAAAGGCAAGATGTGAAAATGATAAAGTCCCTATCTTTAATCCTTAGAGCAGCAACAGTTCAGTGGTTTAAAGAGCTGAGAGCAGAACCCTGGGAGCTGTCTTCTTCTCTCAAAGGCACAAACTGTTTCAAAAAATAAATATATTAATGTTGAATTATTAATTCATAATAATTAATATTTTATTATTATGCTTCAAATGTTAAAGGGGACCTTTTATGCTTGCTCCTCATGTCATAGACAACATTACATCTGCTAAAGTGTCACATGTTCATATTAAATGAGACCAAGGACCAAAGTATTGAAGGAGCATACGTTAAAGTAAATCTCTGAGCAGATGATCGGCCAATCAGAAGTGGGCTTTTTAAGGAGGTCTCTTAAGGAGGCCTCAGCTAATATTGCCTGTTATAGTCAGAGGTGTGTAACGGGGAGTTTGAGGACTTATATAAAAATCCAGAGACGGAAGTATATATATGTTGAATTTACATTTCGGGAAAGACTGAAACTCTACTGTTCAACATGCATGGAAAATAATTTCAGATATGCTTTTAAATTCAATTAAAAGGTTATATTATCTGAGACTTTTGGAATCCACTGATATATGATATATTTGAGAAAATGATATTGGCTCTCTCCCAACGTAACAATCCACCTACCAGCCTCTCTACATTTCTCTAATTATTATATTATATGTTGTTTAGTCAATCTGTACAAGCTACAGACTAGTTCCTCACTGGGAGCTGTAACTTCCTGGACCCAGTGTTCATAGATTTCTTTGCAACTGCACGGAAACAAAGTGAATTGTTGTTTTTCCTCTTTGGTTATTGTGGAGGTGAAGGGGCTGGGAGAGCACCTGCACCACAGAGGATCACTCAGCGCAGGTGAGAGCTGTTAGCTGATTGATCCTCAGGCTTGAAAAGGCAGCAGCCGAGCTGCCTCAGAGGGAGCACACTGGGGAAGAGACTGGGCAAAGCTAGAGGTCCAGTAGAAAGTGCTTTTAAATTAAGTGTTTGGTGACTTGTGTTAAAGTTTTATATTAATAAAGATGTTGCTGAGCCCTGAATGGTGTGACTGGTTCTCTGGCTTTTGTGGTGGGAACCCCGTGGCATGACCTACTGCCACAGTTATTTTGTACAGTTGTTCGATAGAGCCAGGGAACGCTGCTCCTTCCTGTTTTCAGTCTTCAGGGGAAATCAGAACGATGTTCTCTCCAACGAACTCTGACAGAAAAGGAATTATTGGCAATTTGTTCTTGCTTTTTGTCAAACGTCCCCTTTAAACTGGTCTGACTTCTGTGTTTGTCTAAAAGCCAAGAAGTGGTGTCACTGACTGTCACTGTCATAGACAATATCCCACATTTTGTTTTTGAGCATATTTTCTTCATTTTGGAGTTTTGTTCTTTTATTTAATTTTCTCAACTGTTCCTTGTTTTTTCAGGGATGGGACTGCAAGCTTTTGTGGAAGCCTTTTTTTCACTGGCTGGTCGCAGGTTCAAATCCCTGGTGCAGAGGGAGCAGGTACTGTCACTGCTAGTGCTGTGCGAGGCTCAGCTCGAGTCCCAGTCAGGAGGCGAAGACAGACGCTCGGTGAGCTGCAGCCGAGCGCTGCCACGAGCCGTCAAGACTCAGACACTCGGCAACCCTCAGCTCGGCTCCCCGGCTCCCCTCCGAAGGGCGGCCAGCCAGGACTACCGGCTACATCAAAGACTCAAGCCTCGCACACTCAGGGCCAACGTGGAAAACTGACGAGAGAGAGCTTCAGCTCGTCATCCAACTCCCAAACACCGCCTCTAGCCTTCTCCGCAGGAGCACGGAAATTAGGCGTCCAACTGTCGTCAGCCGCTCCCGCAAGGGTGGGATGATGGGAGCCGAAAAAACGACTTGCTTGACCCCTGCTGGCTGACTTGCAGGAGGACTGTTCTCAGCCTGATTGCTTTTTCCTCAGAGGGAGAAGATGTCTGCAGGGGTTTTGCAGTGGAAATAGAACGAGGGATGTGAGGAGGTCGGTGCATTTCTCTCTCCCCTCCTGGTGAGATCGTATATGAAGAGTGGTCCGGTCAGGAGGGGGATATGGCTGCTTTTAATGTTCTTACTGATTCTACAGGGCAGCTACTCGCTTCCCCTCACCGCCGTTTGGTCAAACACACACACTGCGAACAGGAAACAGGAAGAACACTAGATGCCCCACTTCAATAGATTAACACACATCACACTTCAGTGAATACATAGGTGTAAGGGAGTGTCCTTAGTACGTGGATTATGTTCTTGAATTTGCACAAAAAATCTTTGAACTGTTACATTTGCACAGAAATGGATGAGGGTGACTGATGCGTGCGTGCGTGCGTGCGTGTGTGTGTGTGTGTTAGCCCATTAGAGATGAGTTAAGAGAATAATTATTCAAAGGGAAAAGGCCACGTCACCACTCATCCTGTGGAACCTCAGACCTTCAGAGAACATGTTCCTTTAAGACGACTTCTCATGGGGACGTCACTTTCTCATTAGTAACTTCACAGAATTATATTTCACACTTTAAACAGACGCATTTTTTTTCAAGTGTCCGACAGCTTTTGTAAAAAAACACCTTGTCCAAAGTGAGATGTGGCTGTCAGTTACACGATGCCAACCAGAGAGGGCGCTGTTGCTTCAAATTATAATCACTACAGGTACAGTTCAAATATTAATGTTCAGTGTTTGTTTCTCAGATTACTCACTTGTCACATCCTGACTAAGAATTATTCGTGCTGTGTTACAAACAAAGACTGTAAATAAAGATAGACAAAGCATCTCCACTTCCGCACTTAGAATTGAAGCCAAAATATCCAGGATACGAACGCTGCCATCTTGCGCAGTTGGAGTCAGAGTCCAGCCCATTAGTGATCGTGGTATCGAGGTCCAGTCAATGCGCACGTTAAACCAATAATGAGTCTCATCTGTCAATCAGGATGTTTCAGCCTGTTTTTATCAAATCAAATACGTGATTAAAACCAACACTTGAATATAAGAACTACTTAAACTAACAGACACTGTCTCTGAGAACATTTTGTTTGACGTGTACCAACCTGGAGGAGGAGGAGGCAGGACTGAAGATGTTTTGGGAAGCTGTCATGTCGTCCATCTTTATTTAAAGTCACACTGAAGCTGCTGCAGAGTGGGCAGCTGTTTAACTCAACTCTACATGTACATTTTTAACTGCAGCATAATAACATGGAGTAGATTCATTAGGTTACTAAGAGTCATGAATCATTGTGAATGAAATGTATCGACTGCAAAATGAATAAATACAATTCATTTTGCTCTTTAAACTGAAGTTGTGAGTGTGTTGTTGTGGACGCATTGGAGCAATTCACACAAAGCCTTCACATGCATGAATCTCTAAACTGTGTACGTACAGTAAAGAGTCCTACCTCAGTGATTTTCCCCTATGGGCAGCATTTGTCACATCATTAGGTGACACTGTAACACAATGGCAGCCCTGTTGGCAGGTTGTGGTATTTACAGTCTTCAACAAGGCTGATAGATGAGCCTGAAATAGCTTCTTTTTCATGTTTTAAGACCTCAGTCATGTTTCGCAGCACAACCATCTGCCAATGTTTCCTCGACCTTCTGTCGCAGAGGCTGCCGACACCGCTTAACGCTGCAGCTCCACTGTCTGTAGGTTTCATTGGGTTTTTGGTTCTGGTCTTTGCCTGGTGCTTAAACAGCAGAGACACCAACCTATGTATCAAGATTTAAAGGTAATATATATATATATATATATATATTACCTTTAAGTCTGGAAAAATACAACATGAGAATATCAAGAGTAACTGAGCATTGAATGACTATTGCAGCCATTAATGTGACAAAATAAAAAGGTTGCAGTGGTGGAGAAATAACCAAGACAAATTTGTAATTCTATATTATAAACTTTACATATAAACTTCCTTCAGTCTAAACTTTTTTTTTTGTATCTTATGTGAAGTAGTGGCCAAATTTCACTATAAACTAGCACATGCAAAGGTACAGTGCAACAGCCACAAACATGACTTGGTTTTTAATATCACTTGCACAACCCCAATTAACAACATAAGCTAATCGTAGCCAACAAAAGCCACTGGTCATTCCAGACCAAATAAGGTGAACTGACGTTTGTTTTATGTTGTATGGATTCAATGTTTTTTGTATGTGCACACATCACTCACACTGCTAGCACAGCTGTCTGGGTATATTTGGGGTTCAGCATCTTGCTCAAGGACACTTGCACATGTTCAATGCCGATCGAGCAGATGACCATATTGTTAGTGGACAACCCACTCTATTACCTGAGCCACAGCTGCAACAAATATATATGTTACATAAAGTTGTCATGGAGCAACTTGCCTCAAATTAATGGAATCACAAAAATTGAGGCCAGAATTCAAAAGGGCACTAAAAGCATTAAAAGTTTAGCCCGATGTGTTTGGGTATTTTAATCTTCAATAAACATCATGCTTTAGAAGATCAGAAACTCAAATGAAGATTCTCCCTTAAAGTACAGTTTACAATATAATTATTTAGTTGCATTAGATCACTGTCTTAAAAGAAATGTGTCACCTACCAGCACATCCACCCTCCCGCCATTTGTTGTTCTTCTTTGCTGGGTTTATTAGCAGGTGGCAACCCACCGCCATCTTCTATGCTGGTGCACTATTGCACAATGTTGTCAATGTGTGGAGTGGACGATTACAAAAACAATTTGATATTTCTGGTACCTGGTAACATCATTTCTCTCTCTCTCTCTCTCACTATATATATATTTCTGTATATATAAATAAATAAATGAAGTGCTTATTTATCCATAAAAAAGATTTTCAAAGCACACATTTATTGCTTTGATCTTTCCATTTGGAGAAGTGCAATTGAAGTACACACTCAGTGGCTGTTGCTGCGCACTTGGCAGGAAATTGTCTCGGCCATCAAGTGGCTTGTGTTTTCTCGCCTTTGATACTTCGGAGTGATGGGTGGAGGAGATTAATGAAGAGTGGACCGCCTGTAGTTGCTTGTTTTATTAGCCTGATCTCCTAAATGCAATTCTTAAGCCAAGTGGAACAGGCTCCCTGGGGCAAACAAGTTAGTGAGCCTCACAGGGAGCAATTAACAGCACAGGAGCTTTTTCCTTTTAAAATACACACGACACTGTTGTTAACAAGGTCCTCTTTCCTCATTTGATCACGTACCATTGTGAGAATACAATAGGAATCATTTCTTTGCAGCAATCTGAGACATTTTCGCTGCCATTTTTGTTGTTAGGGCCATTTCAGGCTTTCTCCCAACTGCGGGTGAATAACAATCAGGCAGTATGTAGGTCAGGCTCTCTGAAAAGTATAGTCCCTCCGTCATACCCTCCTCTCTGCCTTTGGATCTGAGCATATGTTCTCTCTCGCTGCTCGTCATCCATCTAGACCTGCCTGAGTATTTAATGAACACGTGACTCGTCTCACTCTCAAGCCTCGTATACACAGTCGTGTCGTGATTAAGTGTCAGGGTGAGCGATGCAGAGAGACACAGGAGGACAAGACTTTAAAATAGCTAAATAAAACTTTAATAGGTCTAATTGCGAATGTACATAAATTGCACAGCCACATTTTGTCAACACAAATTTCTCTGTACATTATTGTTTTGTCACCGTCGTCAAAGGAAGCAGAATCCAGCAAATACTTTATACTTTCAACATACTTACAAAAGTATTTTCTACAAGATAATAGAAAACATACAACATCTTTTACTTTATTTATAGCTTTATATTTCTGATTGATATTTTGCCAGACCGGCTGAAGTGTGTGAAGCGCGAGCTTGTGGTTTTCTGACTCATAAAACAGAACTTAGGTGGAAACATGGATAAGGGATCCGATGGCAGAGAAGTCATATGAGAAACCAAACATTAGAGTGGGTCTTTTACTTTGTGGAGATGTGCTGATGACATTTTTATTATTGTACACTGCAGTTTAAAGCAAGTCTATGAAACTTTAACTGAACCAACACCACTTCTGAATGCTATCCATTCCTGTCATTCTAATCCATGCCACTGTCTTAGGTGCGAATAAACAGTAAAAACTACAGCTTTCACTACTGATACACGGAGCAGCCATCTTGTTTTTCCTAAGTCGTTGGTGGTGACTCAAAATTTCAGGACATGTGGCCACTTCCCACTCGGGGGTCTGTAATTCTGAAAGAAGATTTGCACTCCACTAAAGCAGCTGCTAAAAACAGAGCTAAAGAGCAGCACAACCTTAGTATCAACTGTGGGAGAGGAATGTGTCAGTTCTTCTGTCAAAAGTAACATAATCTTGCTTTAATCTCTGCAGTTGTACAATATTATTTTGGGACTGGATGTCAGTGAGATATGAGGAGGAAAAAAGTCCTGTATGATTTTTCTTTGTTTGTTTCTTCTCAAACAGGAAAAGCTGTAAATAGTTCTCTTTATCAGATACAACGGTCTGTGATTGAGCTTTATCAAAAATCCCTTTCTATGGGTTTGAACTGTGTTTTTTTTTTTTTTTTTTAAACACCTGAAACAGGCGTTGTGCTAAAAACAGACAAATCTAATTATAAACACCAACCACTGAACGTAAAAGTGCATAGAGCCAGACTGACGAGAAGTACAGGATTGTGCTTGTGAATCTCATCCCGACTGGACTCGGCTCGGCCTAAAAAACCAACGAGGCGACTTCCCGAGAGTCGAACCCCTAAATAATCTTTATTTTTTGGCTAATGATATTAAACTCTACATACAAAAAAACCAATAGCTTTAAACAGGGAGAACACTGAAAGGTTAAACTGTATAGTTCTACCCAATGAGGACAGATGACCGACTGAGCTAATCTGTATTTACAATATCCATAATGATACAGCAGAGTTTGAACACAAGATACATTTACAAAAAGCTCTGTTAACATTAGGTAAAAATAATGTGGGCATTTTATTTACACATTCCCAGGCTGTCCTGCCTCTTCATACACTCATCGATCATATGTTCACTAAATATGTCTGCAGCAAACCATTCATCACCACCACCTTCCGCTTGGCAAATAAAAAAAGAAAGAAAAGTATGGTGATAATGATGCAACTGTTGGCGCTAGAGCGAGGATGAAGCATGCAGAGCCTCACACCTGATGCATATATTCTGTTACAGGTAAGAAAACTCGATACAAAAATATACAAAATAAAGACGCCGAGATGCGGTGGCGCAATGACAAGAGAGATCGGAAGGACTGCAACCGCACGTTAAGACCGACTGTGAGTCTTCACATTCAGAAGAGTTTGGGGGGGTGAGAGAGGGCGGAGGTGAGGAAGGAAAAGAGAGAGAGGATGATGCCACTAGGATTAAAAGAGTCACAGTATGGATGCAGCATACTTCATTACCACTGATAAACAAAGCAGTTAAGAGGGGAAATGTTGCAGGAGGCCATTGTAACAATGACTCACCAGTCCAGTGTATAGTATGAGTGAGTGCGTGGGAACACGTCTCTCAATAGCTCTTGTGCTACTAAAGGAAGGAGACCACAACCCAAATCACCACCTGGGTTTAACCGACCTGCGTCTTTAGAGCAGTGACGAGCACAGCACGAGGAACCGATCGCTACGGCCAGAGCTGTACGGACATTTCTCTGAGGTGTAGCGCATAAACTGTGCGTAAAGGGCGAAGTATCATGGGTAATTTGGAGTGCGAATCAGTCGCCGGTGCTGATCGCTGCTCCGCGTGGTCTCCTCCTCCAGGGCTCGAAAGCACGCTACACACTACAGTCTTTCATCGTCACAGAAGAAAAATAAAACTCCTAAATAAAGGGCTGCTTTTATATTTGAGGTTATCAAATATAGGTTCATGTGTGTATACTCTATAGAAGAAAAAATGCATACATCTATATTAAATTTCATCAATATAGTATCACATAGAGTTTTTCTTTAGTGTTCATTATACATTTACGTGTGTACAATTTATCTTTCCACAGTATTTACGTTGTGCCTTTTTTTTTGCAGAAATAG